TTGGATTCTTACTCCTGAAGAGAAGCTACGTTGCGTTTGACAGCTTTCTGGAAGGAGGAAGGTACCAGCTGAGATAAAGGCATTTAGACGACCAGCTAGCAGAGTGTGAGTTTTAATTATTCATGGGCTTTTTAATTCAAGATTTATTTTTTTTTTACAAAAGCCTAGAGTTTTTTCTTCTATTAAAATGTGTTGTGCTTTAATAGAAAGCACAACACAAACTTCAAATACGCCAAAAAGTGCGGATGCCTTTGAGTCAAGTGAAGGATTTGTAGATTGTGTAGAAGAAATGGTTCTTCTTTCAATACGATCTTTGTTTTGGAAAACAGTCGGATTAATTAATCAAAGCTTGTAGGCACAGCGATTTCATGGGAAGAAAAAAAATAGCAGAATTCAAAAAGAGAAAGAGAAACTCTGAGAAACTGTAATTTGGATCTGTCTTAACCCGAAAAAATGAAAATGTATCTGTTATTACCACCATCCAAAATGCACACATCCGATCCTTTCTCGAAGCTGAAAATTGCTCTTGATAAATAACCATCAAAACAAAGTAACAGTACCCAATGCTGATGTAGAAACTCATTGCATTTCTTCCATGCAGGTGCAATTACTCTCCCCAGAGCCACTTTCATTTGAGTAAATGCTGTTAGGAGCCACCGGCACTGCCTGCACCACGGTTTTTCTACTTTTTTTCTCCCACCAGTATACTTAAGTAAGCAAGAAAGACCCAAGCTGACCCCAAGGCAAGACACCGAAGACACAGTTCATGAGCAACCAGTACAATGGAGATATCTGAATGAAAGAAAGAATATAATTATATGGAAAGAGCTGGGACGACGGAGAGCGGCGAGATTGAAAGGCAATGCGAGAGAAAAATCTTCATTGGTTTTCAGCGTGCATGTGCAGACTCAGACATCCTAAAAGGTTACAGCATTTGATTTGTGATATTCCAGTCCAAAGACTCTCTGTCTGGTGGAGCTGTTCTTCTGCTGCTGCTGTCCACAAAGTTTGAATGATGGCTGAATTATGCTGTCGGAATGTGAATGGAGCCGATTCTGCTGTCTGTTCAGTGATGAACTACAAACACACTTTCAGCCACCAAGAACAATGGCGGTTGTGAAAGGATATAATGTTTCCTTGTGAAGATAAGTTATTTGGGCTGCCTTGCTATGCTTAATTGCAAAGACTTGCTGAAGGATTAACATAGCCAGTGTTTAATCTTTTTTTCCAGTGTTTTTTTTTTTTTTTTTTAGCAAATAAAGATCTGGAAAGAGTGGTGTCCGTTTATATTCCACCTTACTGAGTCATTTCTTGTGTCTAGTCCACTCATTTGTTAAGGAGCGCAATGTTAGATAGATGTCTATAAACATTGATTTTTAAGTCTAGCCACGCATTCTCAATTTAATTTAGGACCGGACCTGGATGCAGCCGCTCTAATGCATGAAATTTCTTTGATGTAAAAAGGTTCCAATGTACCTCTGGTTGTAAACACACGGACAAAATTGTTGGTAAAAAAAAATTAACCAATGAAACTTTGACACTGTTTTTAATATGTAGTTCAACAAAATCATCCTAAAACAATCAACTAATAAAACAGGCCTGGACAAAAATGAACCTAGAGTTTAAAGGTTGGTTGCTAAAATTGCATCCTTGTTTTGAGTAGATTTTTTTTCCCCTGGCAGATACTATTAAACATCTGCATCAGACAGCATATTGCTATCAATTTAAAATAAGTATATATATATGACATTCATCTTGTGCCTATAATAAATCTCACACTGTGAAGGGAGTCGGCGGTTCCATGTGCCACACAAGACGACCCTTTTTTTTTGCCAGCTTGAGCACCTGCACCCAAAAAAGACTATGAAAGCCACTGACAAAATTAATTAACTTCTGAAGACACTTCATTGCCAATTATTTTATGCAGGGACATCAGAGCAAACAAGAACAAATACAAAAACTAACCCCACTTTTCAATTTCTTTCTGTTTTAAACATTTTATTTTCTTTGCACTTCACTATTATGTGCTACTTTTTGTTGGTGTGGGATATAAAAGCCAAGAAAATATATTCAAGCTCGCAACTGAAGCGAGACAGAGCGTAAAAAAGGTCAAGTGGTGTGAACAACTTTCGCAAGGCACTGTGCATATATGCCTAAATATGTGCCTGGGATAAACGTCACTTTTTTTTTCTTCTTTCTTTCTCCAATTTCTTCTTTAATTAGGTCGTTTTAACTTGCTTTATGTCTTTCCTCCTTCTCCTTTATCACTCTGAAATTCTCCATCTAAGGCTGACCACTCCACATTCTGTTGATCTCCCTCTAACCCCTCATGCTACGGTTTGGACTGTGCTTTCGCTCGATCAATCTCTCTGTGTATCCTCGGCTGCTTCGGTGCTACACTGAAAGGCTAATTCCACCGAGAGATAGAATGTGAGGATAGCCTCTTTAAAGTGCTTTCCAGTTATCTCCGTGCTTATAGATCTGTACAGAATCAAACCATGCGCCGCCTCTGTGTGCACTCCAGCCTCATACTCCCTTTTCCTGTGACCGTAGCCATGCGTGTCAGTTTTTGCTTCCTTCTTTCTGTGGAACTCGGGGGAAACTAAAACTGCAAGGGCATGTGCGAGAACTCCAGACATATTTAATTAAATATGAGGCTTTCGACAAATGTAGTTTGAAATGACCATAAATAACTAAAGAGGTATATGATTAGCCATTCACTTCTAATATTTTCAAACAAATATTGCTGTTCATATGTAAATATATATATATATATATATATATATATATATATATATATATATATGTGTTAAATGTTCATATGTTAAGTTGTAATGGCTGAAAGTTACATTGTATTTGAACTTCATAAGTTTGTGGCAGCGCTGGTTTCTGTTGTCTTTCTCTCCTGGTTCTTACACCCCATGCGTAGTTTCTAACTCGCATTGTGTTGGACTTTTCTTTTCCTTCTTTTGCAGAAGTCATTGGTTTTTCAAAAAATAGGACAGAAGCTGGTGTAGGGGAGCCAGTTTACAGTCATTAAAAAAGTCACCCAGGTGGCAAAATAGGAAGAAATTCTATTCGTCTAATAAGTGTCTTGTTGCACCTACTTGTTCTTCTAAACAATTTACAAATCCTTCACTTGACTCAAAGGCATCCACAATTTTTGGCGTATTTAAAGTTTTTCTATTAAAGCACAACACATCTTTCTCTTACACAAGCAAGTAAAACAAAAAAAGACCCAAGTCTTGTCACAAGGAAGCCAGTCAGGACTTGGTACCTGAATGAATATAAAATTGCCACCTTGTTATCTGGGAGACTCAAATTTGAAACTTCTTTGAAACCGTATGCTGCAGCATAACTACTGCACTAATTCATGCGAGTTATTTCAAGAGAATACACAAAGCTGCACGTTTTTAGCTGGATTTTCTCTGTGCCCTCTGACTCCCTAAGCCAGTATGAGGAGGGGCTGATGTAAGAGGAGACGGAGGGATCGTACATGACAGAAACAAGACTGAATTAAATCTGATCTGGCCTAAACATGCACTACCATCAACTGCACTACGATTGCATTAACCTTGCATTAGCAGCCCCGTACTGTGAGCGTACGGATGCATTTGTCTTTTGCTGCCTGTGGGCGGGTGATAATAATTTGGAGAAAGATGAAGGAATTAGACAGTGAGAAAAGACAGCTACAATTTATGACCTAGCGTTGCTATTCTTCACTGTTTTCCCGTCAAGTAGAAGAAAATGTTTTCTTGACTGATTGTAACACAATATAGGAGATAAAAGTAGGTAATTATCATTAATAAGGATGAAAATATTAGCAATGCATTCTTTTAATCCTTTTAATTTCACGCCATTGCTTTTGAGTACTGGTCATTTTACCCATTATTTTGTATTGAGTAGTTCTGGCCGTGTGCCAGTTTGTATTCATCTTAGGGATGCTGGTACCGGCTTTGAAAACTGCTAAAATAAAGTTATACCATATAGTCAACTGTGGATAAATATGGTGACAACATTTTCTTTTTTTCCATCACTATCCACAGCACACAATTTACTGAAACCTGGAACATGTGATGAACTGCATTATCAAGGAGGCATATCAAAACATAGAGCAAATATTAGCCTAGCACTACAGAAAACTACTGAGCATAAGTCTATGAATTATGAATCTATGTGTTTTGGTGACATTAAATAACCTTATATGGTAGCTTTATGTATTAAATCAGGGGATCGGAGGGGGTTAGACAAAAGAGGATAAAAAGGGAAAGAGGAGAATGGAAAAAACACAAAAATAGACGCATCAGATGTGCAGAAAAAGACAGGAGTAGTCAAGGACAAAATGGAGGGGAGAAGAAGAAATGGAGAGACTAATGGAGGGAGGTGTGAAGTGTCACTGCTAGTGGCACCGTCTCTCTAATTAATATAGTGACCTTGGCCCTGTGGTCATGTTATTGTACACACACACACAGAGACAGAGAGATAGTGAGAGATATTATAAGCTTTGTAGAGTTTGTGGAATAACAAGTAACGACCCGAGTTGAATTGAACTGAAACACAAACATTTCTCACTACGTATCAAATTCCCTGTGTTTGCTTTAGCAGTATTTCACATTCATGTCACACATATCAGAACATATTTCTTGTTTTATTCTTTGCCTAATCCAACAGAGAAGTTAGGGCAAAGAGTGAAAACACAAAGAGAATAGAAAAAATAAAATCTAAGACTAAATTAACTAGAACTACTATGGAAAGAAAAGGAAAGAAAACCTAAGATTTAAACTGTGTTTACATCTAAACTGTGTTTAAATCTAAGTCTAAGACTTGAAATAAGTCTTAGACTGAACTTATTACAAGGGTAACTAACACAAAGAGACAGTAGGAAGGAAGACAAGCAGACATAAAAACTAACTCTGAGTGAGCTGGCAGAGAAGAGACAGAGTACAGCTGTAGCAGCAATCATCTTTCAGGTCAACAGTAATTACCAAGAAGACTTGTGACTACAGGACACACACACACACACACACCACACAGTTTTTCTTTTACCCACCGCCTTGTCTCACTCAATTTTCTTCTCGTCCCTTTTTATTTCACAACCAAGACACACACCTGCCACAGAGAAGATGTCGGGACAAGAAGCAGAGTTTAGTGGGTAAAGGTTTCTCACCACGAACAGATCTGAACACATGCAGGACTAATCTTGCATTGGCTGACTTCTAATTAATTCATGGGTCCTGTCAGGAAGTCACTCTAATTGTGGTTCACTTTGAAGTTGCCACATGAATTTTCAGCCTGCTTACACAGGAGGTAAACAGCTTTTTTTTTTTTTTTTTTTTCCCCAAGGCTCTCAGGCAGCAATTATCTCTTACATACTTCATATGATTTCTTATGAACCACATAGATTTATGTGTTTATTATTCGTTTATCGTTTTAATCTTCGTTTATCGTTTTAATCTTATTTCAAATTTCCCGATTGTCTGAGGAAAGTATATGGCTCATCCATCCTTGCAGATGTTTTAACATCTTTTAGACAACTCTCATCTCAAATCAACTTAGTGAAGGATCTCCAAGTGAAGGCGACAAAAGTTTGTTTTCATTTTTTTTTCTAAGCTTCAGACAACACTGCAATGCAAAAATACCTAAAATCTTAAAGAGAACCTTATCAGATTCAATATGATCAATTGTTGTACTAATATCGATGCTGCAAAATTGCAAACATTTGTGAGAACTGTGGTACATCCTGCTATTATGGTATATCTACATATTTGCATTCAACTAGGAACATCTTTGTTCTCAGTTGTTGATTGATTAACCAAACTAGCTCCCACAGTATTCAAGTGGTTCAACTCATATCTCAACAAAATAATTTTGTTTTTCTAAATACAGGATAATATTTATCAGAATATTATGATATATGGTGTCCCACAAGGCTCAAGTTTAGGTCCCATCATTGGATGAATGATTACCCTAATGACACACAGCTCAATACAGCCATCTCTCCTGATAAACACAGACCCATTTATCCAATTTGTTTCTTTTTACTTTACTGTCGATATTTAGTCATAGATGGTAGAGAATTTCTTTTAGCTCAATCAGGACCAAGCTGAAGTTTTTTTTTTTTTTTTTTTTTTTTTTATGTTAAGAGAATACAAAGAGACAAACTCACAATGCCCTGGCAAGAGATCCTTCAGATCAGGTCAAAAACATTGCTGTCATATTTTAATCAAATATAAGTTTTACAAATCTATTCATATGACAAACTTGTAGACCTCATGATCACAATTGGATTTCTTTTGTAGGTGCGCCAAACCCCACAAAATCTACTTCAAAGTAAAAATTTGGAATGTTTATATACCTAATTTTGGTTTCGTAGGTTGATGTTTATTGTTTTTTATGTTTTGCTGCTACAACATTTAGTGTTTTTTGATCTATTATGCCTCCTTACACCTGAATCGGTCGTCATGTAAATGGCCTGGAGTCACGTTAAGCCTCAGAGGCTTAACGTGACTCCCACTATTATAACGTGTATGTCACTCCCACTATTCCTGCTCTTCTACAGCTTCTTACAATGAAGTGAATTCATTTTCCTCTCTGTATACAGTACATCTACATATGATAATCTACACACACAATGACAATCCAAACCACATTTTTTTTGACTGATTTGTGTTTCTGAGAACATCAAGACATTTTATAATATGATCAGGCAAATATTTGCCTATTTGGCCATGAAATCCATCTCCGTGTGTGGACTATGCATACTGAGTAAGTCCTCATTATTACTATCCCTCCAGTCAAATGTGTTGATGGCAGCATCTTTCTTTTGGGAATGGTTTGCTTTTTAATTTTTTTTTTCTGTGATTGAATCTGGAGAACTGAGTGTTGGACAGGCTGAAAAAATTCTGATGAAATCTGCAGAAAAAGTTAGCTACAACATTCACATTTCACCAACGTACTAAATTTTGCAAAGACAATCCAAAACTGTCCTCAGTAAAAGTCTCTAAAAAGTCTCGAGTTCAACCCAACATAAAAGTGAATTTGAACTGATTTTATTTATCTGATGCTGTGGACCTTCAGTGCTTTCTCAAGTATATCCAAAGGAAAGCAAGATTATCGTTTCTGCAAATCACTTAAAAAAAGATGTTGCTAAAAACAAATGGAACATTTTTCAAATTGTTCTTTTCTTTTATTGAACAACAAGCTTCTAACATAGGAACAATTTGGTGTACTTAATACAGATGTACCCCACAGTTTCAGTAAGTCATACTAAAGAAAATTAAAGGTCATATGACCATGTATCCTGTGTTGCGCATAAACACTGTCAAGTCAACAAATTCACAAATGGAGCTCACATTTTTGCCCCTTTCTAATTGCAATGCAGTTCACTTGGACATCATTTACCAGTACTTTGGTTTAGGGGCAAATAAAGTGTTTCTGGTGGCAAACTTCAGATATTTCACAGAGAAAAGCAGCAGCGTTTCCTGCTGGCATGTGTCTGTGCACACATGTGGGCATAGACAATGAAAGGTTTGTGAGGATTTATAATGGCAATACTCCTTAAACTTGACTATGCATTAAAGTTGGGCAACTTAGCTTTGCTTTACTTTTTGACAGTTACTTAATTACGGTATAACAACTCTTGTCTGAAGCTCAACTCACAAAAACAAAAAAAAAACAAAACAAACAAACAAAAAAAGCAACTAATGCCGTTTTTAATGGCACACACAAACAAACTCCTTCCAGCTGGAAGCAGAATTCTTATTTTGCACCTGATCAATGGTTTCTAGCTGTAATAGCTGAAGCTTCATGCTAAATCTTCATAATTCCTCTTTAATACAAATGTACCCCACAAAAACGATAACTTCAGTTCTCTTACTATTCATATGGAGAAAGTTCCGACACACCCGTGCATTGATTTGTCCTATTCCTCTGCTCAGTACTTGAATGGGTCTCTTTCAAAGATAAGAGGATACAGACAATGGATGGACGGACATTAACTGAGTGAGTCTTTTCTCCAATATAAATTCAGCCTTCAGTATTTGGCAGCTATTCAGTAAATTTTGGATGTTTTGAGTTAAACATCCAACTGTACTGAATTGACAGCATTAATGGCTAAAAGTGACTGCAGTTGCTGTCATGTTGGTTCCAAGTTTCTTAACCCACATGCGAGAACACAATCAGGAGAGGCAAGTAAATGAACAATAATAAGTTTATTGAATCCAGGGGAAAGGGGAATGGGCATGAGTTCTGGAACAGATGACCGGATCGTCTGACTGTCAACGAGAGGCAACAGGTTAGTGAGAGTGGTTGAGAGAGTTTTTCCAGGAGTAAACAGACAAGGTCTAACTTGGAGTGGATGAGTATGGTTGCTGGCAGAGCGCTGGATAAGAGGGCTTCGTTGGAGGGCGGACAGGTTTGTAAATAGCTGAATGAGCAGAGTCTGACTAGGTCCAGTTGTAAAGAATCTCTAAATGGGTTCGGGCACGGGCAGGTATAACCTGTGATGTCACGAAGGGGAGTCCACTGGAGACGGACCGAAGACGGGGGAAGGCGAGCACACGAGGAATGGCGTCCAGCTGGTACAACTAATGGCGTCGTGGGGAGACACACGAGGGAGGAACTCACGAACAATGGGCAGCTTCAGCTCACGCAGAATCCTGGGGCAGACGGCACACTCGGGGAACAACGAGGAGACAGCGGGTTCACCAAGGTAAGCAAAAACGTTCGCTGGACAGGACAGGTTTGATCTGGGACACATGAAAGGTCGGGTGAATGCGCAGGGACGGAGGAAGACGAAGGTGCACAGCAGAGGGGCTAATGACTGATGACATTCATTGGTTCATTGGTCCATTGGTTCATTGGTCGAAAGGACCAATGAACTTAGGGGACAACTTTTTAGACAGACTTGAGAGGGATGTCACGTGTAGACAACCACACCTTTTGGCCTATGAAGTATGTGGGAGCAGGAGTTCTCCTGCGGTCAGCCAGGCGTTTATTAAGTGCAGAGGTGTTGTTGAGAGCAGCAATGGTGTCATTCCAGATTTTACGGCTTCTACGAATGTGGTGCTGCACTGACGTGACCGAGATGTTCGTTTCGTCGGAGGACAGGAGTGGTGGTTGGTACCCAAGTACTATTTCAAACGGGAAGATGCCTATGGCTGCTGAGATGTGACTGTTGTGCACATACTCTACCCATGGAAGGTACTAGGCCCAATCGTCGGGATTAGTGGGGGTCACCGCAGAGTAGCCTCTAGCTCCTGGTTCATACGCTCTGTCTGTCCGTTGGTTTGGGGGTGGTAACTGGAGGTGAGTGACACCTTGGCCTCCAGAACGGAGCAGAATTGGCGCCAGACTTGTGAGACAAACTGGGGACCACGATCTGAGAGGATCTCCTGAGGGATTCCATGAAGTTTAAACACATGTTTAATCAGTAGCATGGCAGTTTGGGCAGAAGTAGGCAATTTACGGAGTGGAATGAGATGACAGGCTTTGGAGAAACGATCGATGATGGTTAGAATGGTGGTCACCTCTTAGCGGATTGGAGATATGATAGGTTTTTGTGATCTGTCCAGACCAGAATGGGGTGCTCAGCTCCCTCCAGCCAATGACGCCATTCTTCCAGAGCTAGCTTGATTGCCAGGAGATCCCTGTCCAACACGTTGTAGTTTCTTTCGGCCGGCAAGAGTCTATGGGAGAAAAAGGCACATGGGTGAAGCTTATGGTCATGATCGGTGGTCTGGGAAACCACAGCTCCGAACCTGGTATCGGAGGTGTCAACCTCTACCACAAACTGCTTCTTGGGATCGGGTTGGATAAGTATGGGTGCGTGTGCAAACCGGGACTTGAGTTCGGCGAAAGCGGCATCAGCTTGAGGGATCCAGGCAAACACCTTCTTGGTGGAGGTAGAAGCTGTTAAGGGAGATGCAGTTTGGCTATAGTTGCGTATGAATCTTTGATAGAAGTTAGCAAATCCCAAGAAACGTTGTAGTCATTTTCGGGTCTCGGGTTTGGGCCAGTCTAGTACTGCCTTTATCTTATCTTCTGAAGCTCTTACCTGTCTGCCCTCAAGAACGAATCCCAGGAAGGTTACTGACTGACGGTGGAACTCACATTTTTCTGCTTTTACGCACAGCTTGTTCTCAAGGAGCCGTTGGAGAACCAAGCGGACGTGTCTTTGGTGTTCAACGAGGGACTTGGAGTAAATCAGGATGTCGTCTAGGCAGACGAACACGAAAATGTGTTAATAAAGTCTCTGAGGACATCATTCACAAGAGCCTGGAAGAAGGCAGGAGCGTTAGACAATCCAAAGGGCATGACCAGATATTCATAGTGCCCCATGGGGGTCTTAAATGCAGTCTTCCACTCATCACCTTCTCTAATACGGAGAAGGTGATAAGCGTTTCTGAAGTCTAGCTTGGTGAAGATGGTTGCGTCTTGAACGCGCTCGAAAGCTGAAGATAACAGTGGTAATGGATGCTTATTTTTTATTGTGATCTGGTTTAATCCTCTGTAGTCTATGCAGGGCCGTAGGGACCCATCTTTCTTCCCCACGAAGAAAAACCCTGCGCCTAATGGGGAAGACGAAGTGCGGATTATGCCAGCAGCGAGATATTTGTTTATGTAATTCTCCATTGTCTGTAGTTCGGTTCTGGAAATGTTGTATAGTCTGCTGTTGGGTAATGGAGCACCAGGCAGGAGGTCAATGGCGCAGTCGTAAGGTCTGTGAGGTGGTAGAGATAAGGCTTTGTCTTTACTGAAGACTGTAAATAAATCATGGTACTCACTGGGAATGGAGGATATGTCTGGTGGGTCCACCTCTGTCTGTTCTGTCGGGGAAGTCATGACCAGGACAGCAGAATGAAGGCAGGTGGAGTGACATTTGGTGGACCAATACTCTATTTTGGCTTCGGTCCAATTGATATGAGGATTGTGTGCAAATAACCAGTCGAAACCCAGAACTATGGAGGAGCTGGCTGCGGGAAAAACAAAAAAGGTAATCTCTTCGGTGTGGTTACCTGAGATTAATAGGTGTAAAGACTTGGTACGATGGGTGATTTGTGGCAGGTTCTTTCCGTCCAGGGCTGAAATGCGGAGAGGGATGGGGAGTGGTTCAACCTCGATGGCTAGTTGCTTGACTATTTCAGAGTTGATGAGGTTATGTTCGCACCCCGAATCAATGAGGGCTGACAGGGGAAAAGACTTATTACTGTTGAACAGGGTGACAGGAATGATGATACGGGATTTAGATGATTGTGACTCCGGCAGTCTCCCCGTCTTTACTGCCGGACCTGCGGGTTTAAACGAATGGGACAATTAGCGATAACATGGTTAGGCTCACCACAGTAGAGACAGAGCCGAGATCGCATCCTCTTCTGGCGTTCCTCTGGCGTTGGGCGTGTGTGTCCCAGTTGCATTGGTTCAGGTTCTGGAGCTGAGGGAGAGGTAGGTGAATGCTGAACAAAAGACTGACTACTAGTCTGAGGAACCCGTGGAGAAAAAGTCCGGCGAGACCGCTCTCTTGCTCTGGAGCGGATTCGGTTATCCAATTTTATTGTTAGGTTTATGAATTCGTCGAGAGTCTCTGGTTCATCTAGAGTTGCCAGTTCATCTTTAATTTGTTCATTTAATGCATGGAAAAATGCGCTTTTAAGTGCAGCGGCATTCCAACCAGAAGCAGCAGCCTTGATTCTGAAATCAATAGCAAAGTTGGACACACTCTTCTGGTCCTGCTTTAGCCCATGTAAATCACGGGAGGCTGAAGTATTTTCAGTTTCTTGACAAAAGACTTGTTTCAGTTCTTTTAGAAACTCTGGAAATGTACATCCATAATTCAAGGCTGATGTAAACCGGGCTTCGGCCCATTCTAAGGCTCAACCCGTCAATAGGGATAACATGTAAGAAATTTTAGCGTCATCATGGGGTAAGCTCTGCGGTGAATGGTTAAAGACTATATTACACTGGAGAATGAAACCTTTAACCTTCTTTACGTCACTTGAAAATTTATCTGGTGCAGATGGATGGACTTCCGAAAACATGGAACGATTCGGCGGATCAGGAGCCACAGACGGAGTGGATGGAGTGCTAGGAACCTGCTGGACTGAGCTCTGTAGAAAGTTAGAGTATTCTGTTAATTGACGATTTGTTTCTGCTTGGCGGTTACCCAGTTCTCTTAACGCGGAGTCCTGGGACTGAATTAGAGCGTGTTGTTCAGAAAAAACCCTTCTGATTGTGTCCGCTGAGGTTGCAGTTTGGCCTGAGTGTTCTGTCATGTTGGTTCCAAGTTTCTTCACCCACATGCGAGAACACAATCAGGAGAGGCAAGTAAATGAACAATAATAAGTTTATTGAATCCAGGGGAAAGGGGAATGGGAGAGTGGTTGAGAGAGTTTTTTCCAGGAGTAAACAGACAAGGTCTTACTTGGAGTGGATGAGTATGGTTGCTGGCAGAGCGCTGGATAAGAGGGCTTCGTTGGAGGGCGGACAGGTTTGTAAATAGCTGAATGAGCAGAGTCTGACTAGGTCCAGTTGTAAAGAATCTCCAAATGGGTTCGGGCACGGGCAGGTATAACCTGTGATGTCACGAAGGGGAGTCCACTGGAGACGGACCAAAGACGGGGGAAGGCGAGCATACGAGGAATGGCGTCCAGCTGGTACAACTAACGGCGTCGTGGGAAGACACACGAGGGAGGAACTCACGAACAACGGGCAGCTTCAGCTCACGCAGAATCCCGGGGCAGACGGCACACTCGGGGAACAACGAGGAGACAGCGGGTTCACCAAGGTAAGCAAACACTCAGGCGACGAGAAGTCGTTCAGCCGCTGCTTATATACACCCAGACAGCGCTGCAGGAACCGCATCTCTCCAGGGGCTCTGTACACTGGCGGCATCTGGTGGATGCCATGGGAAGTAGCAGGTACTCCAGGAAAATAACTCAACAAAAACCAAAAAGGGAAAAGAAACAAAGAACAAAACAGAAAAAACACAGACCCTGACAGTTACAATCAAATTTGACTTTTTAGTTTTCTTTTCGGCTGATGAAAGCATTACAACATGTGTGTGAGAGCAGCTCTTCTCAAAAAGTTATCGAACAGTTTGTGCATGAACAACAGAATATGGAAAAAAAAGAATGCTAAGTGATTAGATGCTAACTTGTAAAATAAATCATGACTTTTACATACACTCACTCACACACACCCCCACCCACAAGAATACGATTCATCTTTTCCAATTGCACCAGTTCTGGGTGCCTAAGAAGAAACTCGGTCTCCTTTTTTGGGGGTGTTCTTACAGTACAAACAGCTTGGACAAATTTAGACGCATGGTCAAATGTGTTCACGTATCCAAATAGTTGCCAGAGGACGGGTATATTTATGTAGGAGGGGATTTAAGACTCAGCTTGGGTCTTATGATTAAGGACCCTTAATACTAGAAACACTGAAGAGGTTTTATAACACTGACAAGAAATTTAGAACGCATAGCATTTCATGACTATAAGCAAATAGCAGCTCTTTAATATTTTAAGCAGTGCAATGCGTGCAGCAGTAAAACAACAAAATCAAAGAAGGAAAGGCAAAAGCAATTAGGAAATAGCAAAAGAAACAGAGACATGCAAATGTTAACAGCAGAAGCTATTTACAAATAAAAAAAAACACTGTAAAAAATAAATCACCTAAAGTTATATAAGTAACAGAAAGTTTCCACTTTTTTATTCAACTAATAATTCATTTTCATATTTCTGCATAAGCTTGAGCACTACATTGCACAACCGTCCATGTTGTAATTTTCCCACTTTCTTAGATCAATTATACAAGACTCTGTTTTTTTTCTTTTTTTTGCTATGTGTGAGATATTGAGTCTCTAGGTCACTATAAACACAGGCACCTACATTCAGGTATCAGGTGTCTATGTTTGAGAGGACCAAGCCATTTTTCTCCTGTGCTATGCTGTCATGATGGAGTCCTTGGAGAATGTTTTAATGTAAGAAAATGTCTGTAGAGCTGCAAATATTCTGCAAGCAACGAAGCATCTTGAAGCATGTTTGAATTACTGTTTTTTTGAGACAAGCAGCAGGAAGTAAGCCACATTGATAACGAGGGTTTAAGTGTGAGCTTAACCTTTACAAATTTGACAGTTTGACCCTCCTATCATAACCTACAAATCATTAAACCAATATAATTTCATATGCATCTGCTTCATCTTCCTGCCACATTTGTCCAGTCTATTTGGAGGTCGATCTAAACGAGGAAAGAACTTTTCATAAGTTAAGTAAGAAAAATAAAATAAAATCTTGCACTTTATATCCTGTCATTTGTCTTTTAAAATCTGAAACTTTTTTTTCAAAGATGGATCTGCTTACCTAAATGTTGTCAGTACACAACCAATTCCAACAAGGAACACGTCATGATATCCTGACACTTTAAGATCTAAGAAAAAGAAGCACTCTTAAATTTAACTGGAGAATAAATAAAACATATTTGTGCTAAATATGAATGTATCCACATCCATATGTGGATACATTCATATCCACATGTGAATGTATATGGGAACAAGACAGAAACGGCCTCCTTAGTGAAATGACGGTTAAAAACAGCAACAAAAATGTGCTTTACTCTCGATTTGAAACTGAATCAGTTGTTTAAATTTGGATAAAACTGTCAATAAACTATCTGCACATTCTTCAGTGAAAACTACCTCAAGATGACCTCCTGTCTTTTAGAGTCTCAAAGTCTTCCCAGTTCCAGCATAACCTTTACAGTCCAGAGATTTCTCTCAGAAGCAGAACCTCCTGAGACTGAGAATGAACCTTTGGCTCAGGTTCAGCATTTCCAGTCGCAAAGTCGAAAATATCGAACCAACCCAGAACTAAAAGAACTTCAGGGAATGTTTGTATCGGAGCAAGTTGTTTTACAGTCTTCCTGATTGTATTTGCAGTTTTCACAAATCTCATCCGTTGTCCACTTTGAATATCTTGAACAAGTGAGGAAGATGCTTACTGACTTATGTCAAAAATTAAATGGCTGATCAGTTGTTGTTTTGTTTAGCTTATTTGGCTTTCAATCATTTTTCATTGCTTATAAAAAACAGAAATTCTGCTGTCAGACACATTTCTGGTCGTGAAAACATAAGACGCCATCCATCCCCTCTATTAGGATAAACCTATTTTAAAACTGACAAGCTGCAATTAGAACCGATATGAAGACAACCGACCCATGCAGATAACCCGACTAATTAACAAGTTACTAATAATAATAATTAAATAAATAGCTAAAGATTGTAGATAGTATTAATTTGGCTGTACTAATCATTTAGCAGGTCTGTGAATCATTTTGGTTTTCTGTTTTAAATAAAAACAGGTACAACGAGTTCATGGCAGGCATTTTTTTTTAGATTTTGTGGTGAAAGGGATGTTTTTTATTAGTAACTTGACAGGAAGAAGAGCAGAAAGAGAGGCCAAAGACATGCAGTAAAGAGCCCACTTCTGTAGCAGTACATTGATTAAGCACTACAACCTGAATGTGATGGACCTGCTCTGACACAGTGCCACATAATACCCAGCTAAAGTTTTTTAATTTTTTTTCTCAACATTTCCCAAAGCAACAGCATTTTTGCTCTCACAATCTCACATCAGACTATGTCTAATGAAGACAATTTAAAGAAAATAATAAGCATTTTTCTCCCCAGTTTAATTAAAATCAAGATTCAGCGAAACCCAATTAGCGCACCAACACAAAATGCTACACGCTGGAGCCGCATTTGAGTCAGCTAGCTGCACACTGCAACAAAACTAGGTGGGAAATGAGTGGCTTTCTCCATAATTAGCTCATGACACAGTAAGAAGTATGTGTAATTTCATTTGGAATTGACTTTTCGCCCTCTATTCCATCTCTCTGGAAAGCCTAATCCCTGAGGCGTTGTAGGGGTCTTCTTCCTAGAACACCCGCTAAACACATCACAACCCCTCTGCTGCTAATGCTCGCGCTCCGAAATCCGTTAGGAACAAAATGAGAGATGGGAGGCTAATGAAAAGAGGTTTAATGGAAGGAAATGGCAAAGGTGGCCTAGAGGTTTGCTGCTGTTTAATTCAGTGGGATGCTCCGGCTGCCTGAAGACTGGCCCATCTTAATTGTACTCTTCTGCCTCAGAAAGGGAAGTATGCGGCAATAAAGTTACAGACAATTTACGCTGAATTTAATTTTCTTGGATTACCCAACCTCTTCCAGTGTCTATTGAAACTTCCTTCAGGTGGTGATATAAAAACCATCAGCCATCATGCTTTCTGAAGGAACGTCCCATTTATCAGTGTCATATTTTAACCACTTCCTAAATTGGGTGCCGGTGGATAATGAGAGGAGTGTTATAAATGCAAGGGATAATGCTAGAACATGGAAATCATCCATATTATCACGACATCAATACATTGTTTCCACTTATGTACAGCTGCTCTGCGTTACTACTAGATGTTTTGGGGAAAAAACCGTCGTTAAAAAAACTTCTATAGTTCCTTTCATTTTTTTTTTTTTTACTGTAGCAACAATTTGAATTCTTAAAAGTCACCCCTAAAAGAAAAAAAGTAATTTTAACGCCACACATTTATGTTTATTGGTAAACATCTCTCTATCCATTTCTTAGCTATACTTTTTTCCTTCACTCTTTAGAAACTCACAAAATGTGACCTTGGCCTCAGCCACTATTACTGCACAGCTAATTGCTGTCTGAAAATCCTAAGCTTTGTATTTTGAAGCTATCATCGTAGACCTGGGAGGCAGATTTGACCACAGCTATGCAGGTGTTTGACAGATTAAAAATAAAAAATAAAAAATTTAGGACCCAATATTTCTTTAATAACTGGATGATTTTCAAGTGGACCATAATGATTAGGAGTGAGTCAGTCTTGCTAATGACACCATAATGACTTGTGGGTAAAATTCATCACCTTTGAGGGTGTCATTAAAGAATCTGACATTGCTCAATAGGAGTTTATTTGAAAAGTGCTTTATATCTGTTGCTCAGCGGCCATCAGACGGGACGCAGTTCCACCACTTTTGAGATTTAGTAGCTTAAGACTTATGTGCAAAGAATAATAAAGTTGCAATCCTGTCTTCTCACCTCTGTTTAATGTTTACATGACACACATGAGATTAAAGAAGCAGAGATCCACCATCAAGTTGGGAGAATCTGCCAACACAACAACCATTAGTCTCCCACAAATTGGATCTTCACAGAAAAGTAGCAAGAAGAGAGTCTGTTACTGAAGACACCACTCCCATTTTGAAAAAAGTTGGCAACAGCGTCATGCTGTGGAGATGTTCTTCTTTCATGGCATGAATACAATTGCTAATTTGGGGCAATATTTAAAAACTGATATTCACAAATACTCTTCATCCAATGTGAGAACAAACTTGTTTTTGTTGTTGTTTTTCATTTTTCTTCAGAAACGGGCACAACTTTGTGCTTCTCTTCTGAATAAAATCCATGATTTTGGTTTTAATTTCACAAAATGCAGAAAGGTTCAAGAGGCATGCAAATTCTGTTTTAATTTATAATTAAAACTGAAGAAATAGGAATACTATGCAAGAGAAAAATAAATAGACTATAGGATGAAGGATGGCTTCCAATTTTACTGTCTTGTAAAATTCTTGAATAATGTCAAAAAGAAAATATACATTACGAAATTCACCAGTTGCACAGTATGCTATTTAACTCAATGGGAATGGCACCAGTCAGTCCAATATAAGTAACCATTACATACAGTAAGCCCAAAAATCACTGTAGAAATGTTTATCCTCTATTGTGTATTTTAGGTAGTCTTCTACATCCATGAACACAAACCCAGAAGTTCATCAGACCAGAGGGAGCGGGTGAGATGAACCTTACCTTCGCCATCTGTGCCTGGACTCCACTGGCTTTGAGCGAGGCCACAGCCTTCTGGGCTGCCGCAGGGCTGTCAAAATCCACAAAGCCATAGCCTGCACACAGAAAACCAAACAAGAGAGGTAAGAATGAAAAAGAAAACAAAAAAATGAAACAAGTGATGGGAAAAGAAAGTAGTCTTAGGACCAAACAGAACAAAAAGAACGAAAACAAAAAGCTGGGATCAGAGAGAATTCTCAAATATGTTGGCAAGCAAGTGCAATTCTGCTCAGGAAAGAGATCCTATTTTGTCTTCAGCATGTTGTAAAATGTTTTAATGTGTCAAAATCTAGTCAAGTCACATATTTCATGAAAACTTCAAAACTGGCTGATTTAGATTTTAGCCTAGGATGTTTGATTGGGGATTCAATTTTCAGCAAGTTTCTGTTTTTTTGTTTTGTTTTCTTTCTTTTTTAAACAGAGTGCATTATTTATTTATCTATTTATTTAGTCTCTGTTAGTGTCCGTGCATCTGTTAGAGCGCTGGGGCCCGGGGGACATGGGTTGGGCCCTACAGGAAGATCTGGAGGACAAAAGGTCCGAACGCACTCATAAATCTCCACTTTCAGAAATAGTGCATGTCCTAGATTTACTAGGTCACATGGCTGAAAGCTGGGAGGAGATGTCAACAAACAGACAGGCCGTCCTCAGTCTCTCTGTAACCAAACGGACAGATTGCATGCGCTTGTGTGTTGAAAATGTGAGCAAATTACGAGAAACTTATGCCCCACGGATGAGGGCAAAACATCAACACTCGAAAAGAACAATAACTGACTGGGCTGAGTCCTAAAACAAGTATGCAAACCTGATGTTTACAGTATAACTTGCTACAATTTTTAATAAAAAATGTACTTAGAATGAGGGATTCACTCTTGCACATTCACCCATAGACAAACATTTCACTCGCAACATCTGCTCCCGTCTTTCTTTCTTTCTTCCTCCTCCCGAATTTGGAGCCGCACTCTGTTTTGCTGATAAGCAGCAGATTTTTTTTTTCTTCTTTTTTTTAATTGTTCAAAGGCAGCAAGCTGCTTTCACAGCAAGATCTGCCCTGCGCACGCAAATATTTATACGCTGGCTAATGAGAAAACCAGAATTTTGCCAAAATAGGGTTACGCAACCTCAGAAAAGAGTATACATAAACATACAAAATGCATATGCAATTTACTCTGACTTGTAAAGACAAGCACAAATACAAAGATAATAAGGGAAGCAAGATTTTTAAAAATATGGTCTATGTGCACAAGAATTACAATGCTGCTTATTTATCAATTTTAGTGCAAGAAGAGAGACAAATGCCCATCTTACGAAGATATCAATGCATACAGTATTTATCACCTTGATAAAATGTCCTTATTTTATTCCACCGGATTTAGAAAATGTTGGCATTTCTTACTCTGACGGATAAGTTACTGTTTAAACACAGAGAATTGATTGATCCATCACATAATATGCATGCCAGGCTGATTTATTCCTGTGTAGCCTGGATAATGATCTCTGCTTGAAAATCGGCGAAATGTATATGCCTGAATGATTAAAAAATAATGGCTAATTAAAAATTTAGAGCAGGAAAGCTTTAAAGTTTCTATTAAAACAAAAACAGACACAATTCAATAAATAGCTGTTTACAAGTCTGCAAAACCTTTAAACCTCTTTTCTAAATAATCCGTTCATCCGGTGTCTATGCCTGCTTGTCCTTGAAGGATAAGATGGTGTCCGTCTCTAGAGGTCAAAAGGTGAGAGGTCGGGTACAATCTGGACAGGCCGCCAGTCTGTCACTGGGCAGCATAGACACAAATACCCATATAAGAACACATAAGGTTAAAAAAAACCACACACTGGGATATAAAGTTCTTGCTGAAAGGCAACAGTGTTGCTAACTGAGCCAATGTGGGTCTCCACTTTCTAATTAGGCGCAGCTTAATTAATATACAAGTACTGAGAAATCTGCTGTTGAGCAGAATCAGACTATTTTACACACAAAATGAGTTTTTAAGAATAAATTAGGTGTTGAAAAATAAAGTAAGAAAAGGTGCAACAAACTTCTCGGAACAAAACTGTACTTTGAATGAATGTCAGCAATTTATTCATACAGAGCTATGAGACTCCATCAGAAAACAGGAAGCTAAAAGGACCAACGGTAACAATGCTCTGTTTTATTCTTTTGACGAGTCAAGTTCAACCTGTTACTGAGAATCCTGAATTTGGAAATGTTGGCCGAGTTTTGACAATCTCACAATTAAGGTAAAGGTCTGACGCAACCATGGTAACGCAAACGGCTTGCATCGAGTAAGCATGGTAACCACAGTAACTAATAATATAAGATGCTGAAGATAGTTTAAAGCTACAGAGCCAACTCACACAGTGTGACGTCGCCGCTAATGACTGATTGATTATTCATGAGGTGGAGGCTGTCTAATATTTATATGGATTGTTCCATAACCTGAGGGATTGCATGATATTTGTTGATGAGGCTTGGTGAGCCAGGTCTGTAACTTTCAGTTGTTTATGAGAAAAGGTTGTTATTTTTTTTTTAATAAAGCATGCATGCATATTTAAATCACAGATAATTTCATTTTAAATTAACAGAGAAAGCAGAAGAATGAATTTTGCTGCTGATTATAGTTCCTGAAAAATAATGCAAATTAACAGATAAAAGATATACAAAAAAAATATTTATTCTGCTCAGTACATCTCTGCTTATTATCATCAGCATTTTTAAGTTAGGTATGAATAGTTCATGTCAGCTGTTTGAGTTAGGTTGTCCTAGAGTCATTTAAAAAAAAAAAATAAAAAATTCACAAGTCAAATATTTATATAGTGTCATAACTTATATTTTGCAGATAGATGAACTGCATTTTTGATTTTAAGAGCCCTCAATTTTTGCAGTCATTTTTTTCCTCTGGATTTACACCTGAAACATCGATATATAAAGTGAATGCAGTAAACTGCTTTTAAATAAGTTCAAAGCCATTTTGTTGCATTAGCTCAGAGTAAAAAAAAAAGCTTTTTAACAAGGCAGTAAAACTAATGAGAAACTAATCAGTAGTATTAACACACAATAACAGATATGGAAAATGTATGACTCAGATAAACATAGGAAAGTCCACAACATAATCCTGAAATACAACTTTTACACTCTGTTTCACTGCCCTTGAGTTGCAGCTGGCCAGAGCAAAATCATTGTCTGATAATTCAAAATATGTCTGCTTGATCTCATCTCATTTAGAATTTCAGTTTCACCGATACTAAAAGACGTATCTCTCTAAAGGAGGCAGGGTAGAAGTGAATAGCTTTAAAACTGAGGTGTTTAGCATTGAGTATTCCTTGAATAACCTGAATGCGGTAACTACAGCGGGTGAGCCGTTCCTTTTTCATTAGTCAGAACTGAAGGTGCCGGTAGACTGGAAAAATCACAGCAGTGATTACAACACACGAACTTCACGGCCATGAAACTAGACGCTGCAGATTAAATCTGCAGCATAACCAGGAACCACTTCTGGGAGCAGGTCTGTTTACAGTGATATACCAATATCAAATGCCTTCTCTGTATTACAGTTCCAGAAAATTGAATCCATGTCTCAGGCGTCTGGTACATGCTCCCTAAATAAAATATTGAGTCACTGTAGATGTTGGCATGTAATCTAGTTTCACCCTGAAGGTTTTAAGTTATTCTAAAGACATCTGAGGGTGGCTGCGCTTTTTACAGCACTTGATCTAGTTGGGTCGGACACAAAATGTTACACATAAACCCAAGTGATATTAATATTTCTTATGAGGAAATTTAATGTCTAAGTGTCCGTCTCCCTGACATGTTTGGTGGCGCTAAATAGCCTTGAACCGAGTTAACCGCTAGCTCAAAGTCTATTCATCACTTTCTTATGAAAAGGTTTTTGTCTGTGGCTTTATTGAGGTCGTGGGTCAAGTGTCAGAAACAGAACAGACCCGAGGAGCCGCTGGAGATTCATTGTCTTGCTCAAGGCCCTTTAATCCAGACGGACACTTGCTAAATCTGGGAGCAGATGCTCATCTTCTGTGATGATTGACAGCTCCGCGAATCTGAACTCAACATGCAGATCCAATGAAAAAAAGTGCACTAACCCTTACATACTTCTTCTGGTTTTCCCGAGTTACCCTTTCCTGAGAGCACACAATATGAAGTATGCCTTAAAATACTGTTGATTAAAAGATGAAAAAGAAGCTGTCCCAAGCAAAATGGAAAAGCAATGAGCCTCAAAACCTATCGAGTGGTTGTGCCAAACTATCATTACGCATTTACAATAACAATGTAACTTTTACGCCACTTTGGGTGGATTTTGTCCAACTCTTCTTTGCAAAATTGCTTTAATTTGTTCACAGTGGAAGGTTTACAAACTCTAACTATTTAAGGTCATGCCAAAGCATTAATCAGATTGAAGGTTTGATTAAATTTCCTTTTCCCTGGTAGAGAGCAAACTTCCTGGTTCCAACATGGTGTTGAGACCGTGAAGCAGCACCACGGCCCTAAGAGTATATACTATTACATACTCTTAGGTTTAACTGTATGCATGAAGCATTTAACCAAAAACATGTGCTACGTTAATTTTACATCACATCTAACCGGACACACACATTCCTGAAGATTTTTCTGTAGTCTTGTAAGTCTATATGTCATATTTGAAATCTTTCACCCTACTTTGTTTTATTAGATGTGATCCATTAACGTGATTGCTTATATGAACATTTTTGGAAGACATTGTGGCTGTGTGTGACCTGTGAAATTAATTAAACAATGTACTAAATTAAAATTATAATTTAGATTTAACAATGGAGATATTTTATTCAAACAGAGTTGCTCATTTTGCAGTAGATTTTTTTTAAACGTTATTTAATGAAATCATTTTATGAAAACTACATTTTGCATTTATTCACATTATCATTGATTTTAGTGCTTCTCTCATAATCTAAATCATGACATTGTTGTAAGAAAAAAAAAAAAAGAAATACTGTATTCTACACATCAAAATATACCCTCCTAACTCATCTCACGTAGTTTTCCATGCAAGAAGACCCGACA